ACTTTGTTGTCCTTTATTCATTTGAATTTTCAATCTCAAGCTAATAAAACCACGAACTATCAAGTGGGTGGGCAGCACAGAAATCACAAAAATGTAATAATGTTGACAAGGTGGCTGCTGAATCTTGGGGCTTCCAGCCACAGGGGCTGTAGGCACAGAGCAAGGGACACTTTAAAGCAGTCACTATTTCACTAATGTTCATTAATGGAGAGAACTATCAGGCCTATGATAATAGGAAAATGTAAAAACCTCTTAATCTACCGTATTTATCAGAATAGTACCCAAGGGGCTGAGAGTGACACTGGACAAATTTTTGGAGGAGAATGAGAATTGCAGCATTTCCTTCAAGGCAGGAAATTGACTCATTACCAATTACTGAATCAATGCATAGCTCCTAGGAAACGGTAGGAATGTGTGAATATCTGTCCTTTTCCCCTTCTGGCAAAGTGCCACTATCAGCTACAGCACGTTATATCAGGGGGTCAGAGGTTCCCACCTTCCTCAGGGTTTTCTGTAAGCCTCCTGCCCTTGCAAAGCGCTGTAGATGAGCGATGAGATCTCAGGAAGTTTACATGAAGCGGAGTCGGGGATTCTGTGCTCTACTCTGAGTCATGCCCTCAACATGGAGGGTCTTTGTCAATTGGGTCTTTCTGATTTTCTCACCCTGCATTAGGTATTTTAGACGAACAGCAGAAGAGTACATGAAGTACCAGCCACTTCCAGCCACTGGAGGTACTTACAAAGCCCGTAGGGGAGGATAAAGTGTGAGAAACAGGACGAGGCCACATTTTAGAGCACTTAACGTGCGATCGCAAAAACTAAATGCAATAGGATTTTTAGAAACAAGGGATGAGAGTAGGCATGTGGTGGCGCCAAGCAGAGTCAGCTGGACCAAGGAAGGGCGTTTTCGTGATTAAACTGGATTAAGTAGAGAAATGCAAATAACACTCTGCAAATAGGCATGGTAATAAAGATCAGGAATCTCCTCAACCATAGTAAACTGGATAATGGAAGGAACACTGAGTCATATGAAGGGTGGACAGGTTAAAAAGTCCTTCCTCCCTGAGACATGCTGTTTCCTGTTGCCTTCCTTCATCCTCCCAGTTCTGCGGATCACGTTATGCTCCTAAATTCCACTCCTAATTATGGGCTGTCCTCAGGGTTTATATGTACCACTGACATGCAGAGGAAGAGAGGGTTCCACCTCTGCACAGAGAAACGCCAGTTTCTCCAGCTCACACGAATTGCTGAACATTGTACGTCCACTGGCTATGTGAGGCAGGGTGGAGGACTTCCAGAAGGTCACTGCCCAGGACCACCTCGGGACTTAGTTCAATCATGCTGTTAGACACCACCTACTTCCTGCGATAGCCTCGATACTGGTCATGATGTGAATTGTAAATTAGAGTGGAGCATAAATTACATTCTGGGCATTAGAAGCTGGTCAGTTCCTTCCTCCACTGTGCTAAGAGTGGTGTAATTCTTAGCAAACCAGTTTCTTTCTATGAAAGTGGGAAGCTAGTAGAGAAGCATCTACACTAAGCTGGGATGATTTAATCTTGACTAAAGACACGTTTGAAGGCTAATGAAACGGAGGCATACCAGCACTCTAACAGCTATTTCCAATCATTCAATTAGCCAAGTTTCCACTACAATCCTAGGAGGCTATGGAAATCCTACTAGGCTATGGAAATCACCCAGTATGAAGGCGTTCGTCATCCAAGTTTCCACCATCAACTCTTTTCATAAATACTCCTTTTTGAAAGAATGTTATACCTTATGAATCAGAAAATACTTTTGCATTCAATGACATTTCTGGGGGAGAAACCAGGCTCTGACACCTCCCTGCCCGCTGCCTGTATTCGCAGCTCGGCTTTCAGCCCGCCAGAGAAACTGGGGGACCGGGGCAGTGGGTGCAGTGGAAAGCAAGATGTCACTCACACAGCCTGCGGCCTTCCCCACACTTTCTGAAAGCAGCAAAGACCTACAGCCATCCTAGCAACCAAAGCCTCCGCCGGTAAGTCACCCAGGGCGGACTACTGGATTAACGCGCTCCTTAAAAGAAAAATGAAATCAACAAACCAAAGACACCCGGAAGCTGCAAGCGGGCCCTCCTCCATTCTGCTAAAATAGCTACTCTGATTCCAAGAGCTAAATTGATGACATGGCACAGTTTGCCAAGCCAGTAGGTTAAATGTTACTCTAGATTAGCATTCCGTTCATATCCACTTTAAACAAAAATTATATAAAGCCTTTAACTGTAGACTTGTATTTGCAACACAGTTCAATTTAGAGATTTCCAAGTAATAATTTGGTTGTTATTTATAGGAAGTCATCATTAAAACAGATAAATACCAGCAATTCATAATGGTCACACTTGGCCTGAAAATAAAATTCAGCAGCTCCTGTGATTAAAAAGGACTCTGCCAGGCCCCAGGGAGTAAGCTTCCTAAAACTAGACTGGTTCATAGAAGACTTTGCAAAAACAGGTTAATATGAGATCATGCAGAGACATCAACATACATATAAGAAAGGAGTAATACATTATTCAGGTTAAGGTGAAATATCCTTTTTAAAAACATCATTCTAAAATTCACCTCAGTTGGTGGTTTAAAAAAAAAAAAAGGCAGGTTAACTCACCTCCCCTCCATCTCCCACACTCCCATAGATCAGAATGTCAAGGCCACAGGAGGCACAGTTACTCCAGCCCCAAAGGGTAACCAGCACAAACGCGCAGCAGCCATGCTGGTCTGACTCCCTTCCAGGTGCTGCCCTCTTCGCCATTTTAAAGGCATTCTTAAATAAGCAACAGGTGGAGGACTATATAAGCGAGCCAAGGTAGGACAGCAGGTGGTCCCAATTTATTTTCGCCTATTTGGTGTGTGTGTGTTTAATCAGTCTTTTCAGTCTCCGGATTATTTTACGAAGACCACCCCCAAGGCTTCAAGGTACCCTTGTTTTTCCTTCTTCAACATCAGACACCAACCCTGCATAATACATTGCTCAGCGTCTTCAATTACACACATTTTTCTTCCTCTCCTTCTCCCTCCTCTCCCTTTTCCCATCTGCCCTAAATACATAACACAAAGTTATATAGGGGCATTATTTACATGAACCAAGACTGGAAACCTAAATATTTATCCAATTGCTATTACAGTATAAAAGATGGATTATTAAAGTTATTAAAACTCAAGTCCTTTATAAGAAAACATCAAGGAAAACTTGAGGCAAGTAGAATACTGTAAAACCCAAGAATAATCCCTTTAAAGAAATATCAATAACTAAAAGAAACAAAGCAAATTGTTACACAACAGTATAATTACAAGATTTCTTTTACCCATTTATTTTCCAGATGTTGTATGTACATGCATTACTTCTATGATCATACCTACATATCCCTTACTCCTTACCCTGTCCTTAAGGAGGAATCAAAGGTAGAAATGCTCATGTGAAGTGATGAACTAATCGGATTTTTCTTAAAAATGTTTTAAATGTGACTTAAAAAGCACAACTTGTTTCGGTTATAATGGCAGGTTCTGAGCCATAAACGTATGTGTGTGGATTATACACACATAAAATGCCAGGAGGCAAAGACTGCAATCTTTGATCTGCACTGGAGTATGCACAGCACCATATGGTCGCTTCACGCTCCTCATTTGTGTGGCCCATGAGTAGGCCTCCACTGAGAGGCTGGAAAGGACTACATTAGCTGTCAGCTCATCTGCCCTCTAAGTGAATAGCCATGAAGACCAAAGGTGCCCAAACGGATCACTTTCTGAGCCTTGTTAGTCCACAGCGACTGGTAGCACATTTCCACTTAGATGACCAACAGGCATCTCAAACCCAGCATGCCAAAGTCCAGACTCATCGTTCCCCACAAACTGGATTGTATGTGGCATCTCCAGTCTCTCACATCAGCATGATCCTCTCAGAAACCTGGATATCACACCCCCAATGCCTCTCCTTCCCAGCAACCTATCAACCCACCCACCAATCCCAGGTCTTATAGTTCTAGAGATCATGACTACACAGTCCAAGAAGGCTGCAGGCACTGTGCAAACAGCAGGGACTTCTGGAATCAGATCGAAGTTTAAACTTGGCCCTGCCACCCACTAGATGACCTTGGGCAAGACCGTTAATCTGCCTGGGCTTCCAAACGTCCCTAAAGCTAGGACCTATGTCATGGGACTGTTGCGAGGTTTAAATAAAGTCATACATTCAAAAGGGAATGTTGAGGGCCGGGTGCTATCCAATGGTGAACAACAGGCACTCTGGTAGGAAATACAAGTCCGCAGGCCTGTACAGGGTATTAAGTGCTGTAGTGCAGAAATACCCAATGCTACGGGAGCACAGGGGAGAGGATGGAATCTAGACCAGAGTGGGACTGTCGGGGAAGCTTTTCAAAGGGACTAACACTTTAAGTCCTATGAGATGGACAGGAGGTACATAAGCAAAGGTGGAGGATACGGATAGTGCACTAGTGGAGGAACAGCAAATGTGAAATTCTAAGGTCAAGAGACAACCAGGCACCTTGAAGGTATTGTACATAGTTGAGCTGGCTGGAGACTAGAATGTGAGGGTGAGAAGTCACCAGACAGTGGGGAGGGAAACTGCTCAGTGGTAGAGTGCATGCTTAAAATGCGAAGGTCCTGGGTTCAATCCCCAGCACCTCCATTTAAAAAAAAAAAGTGACAGACATAGCTGGACAGTTCAACAAGGGCTAAGGGGTTGGGGACCCTGAAATAAAGGATTTTATGCAGGTAAATATACTGTATGTAACCGCCTTCATTTTTACTACTATACAGGCTCGTTTATGCTGTCCAGAAATTTACAATCGAGTGTCTTTTTTTCTTAAGCTAGCCTCCCCCTCCTATTAATTATTAATATGTTAAGAGTATTTTAAAAAAGCAATTTAAAAAATTTCCTCAATGTACTTGGTGAATTACAGGCAGAGATGTAAGGGGAAAACCCTATCAGTCTTTACCTGGGCTCTTTGACAGTCGGAAGAGCAATGAAAAGGGTTAATTTCTTAACTAAAGTCATAAACCCCGAACTCTCCACAGCAGTGATCACATTAACTTCTCAAGTGCACCTGCTGTGCTAACTAGTATTTACCAGACACCACATCAGCCTCAGCATTTCCTAGCATAACATGCTCCACCCTTCCCATCCAGCCCACTAATGCGCCAGCAGTTCGGGACACTCAGTCACCCAAGGCATCTCTGGCTGATCGCTTTGATGCAAACATAGTTCTACCACTGAGTACTGTGGCAGTCACCCTTTGAACGAAACCTACCCAGTAACCCAGACCTCCCTGAAATTCCTTATTAGCTCCATAACGCAACCTATGAACACTGATATTTTTAAAAACCTAAATTAGTGAAATGAATTGAAATCTTTATCATTCCCACCAGATTAAGAATCGTTCATCTAAGAAAAGCAATTAACATATTTCTGTCACTTGCAAATGAATGCTGAAGCTTAACTGCAGGGAATTCCCTCCCTTTGTAAGGATGTCTTTCTGCATACAGGGCACAATTACATCCAGAATTACCTCCACGCCCTCATCCTTAAATACTACATATTCATTTCTATTTTGGAAAGATTAGGCAAGAGGCATTAAATTACCATTGTCACTAATGCTAACAATTTCATTTTAATCAGAGTATCAATGAACAGTAATTTCTAACAGGATGTTTTAAGTATCAGAACTATTATTGTACACCAGAGTTTTGTTGTTCTCAAGGTAACATGTTTTAAAAAGCACAGATTTAGACTTTAATATGCATAGAGGGAACATTTACAAAATGAAACAGAAGTAATTTTGCACCATATTGCTTCGCTTGAAGTATTCCAACAAAATATCTACCCTGCAATCCTTCAGATTCATCATTTCTAACAAATAACACAATCTAATTCCAGCTCCTGGAGCTACTCTCACCATCTCAGGATTAGGTAGGACCTGCTTCCAAACAGCCTCCACTCTGATCTCCCCTCTTCCCAAGAGAGAACACCCAGAGCCAGGCTCAGATATCTCCAAGAGATTCTGCAAAGCCCCCCAACTGGAGTCATGCTGGATGGGCTCCTCTGGCCCAATGTCGGCTTTCAGGAGATGGAGGGTAGGGGTGACCCAGATCCAGCTCCAGGGAATGGGGACCTGGGTATGGAGAGTGGGGCTCGCACTACTTGTCGGTACAAAAGTAGTTGACCTTTGTGTACTTTTTCTGTTAGCCTTTTCTTCTTACTTCTTTTCACCATTTCTAACTGTCATATGTCCTGCCAACCAAGCGGCAATAATGTGCCCTGAGAATAATGCACTTCTCCAGCGGTTGGCCACTCCCCCATCAGGCAGGTTTCTGAGACAGAGCAATCTGTGAACGGATCGGATGATAGACCATTAAGAGCTAAGTCAGAGGAGCAAGTAGTGTTGTCAGACAGCATGGGGTACTGGACACAGCATTAACTGAGAGGTGACAGAGCCCTTCTAGAGACTGGCATGAGTCTCTCTGCTAGAGGACAGGAGGGAAGAAGAGGAAGAATACTATTACACAAGACCTGTGCTTCTCCTTTTATCTGTTGGGTATTCAAATCGATCTGGGTTGGAGACACAGACTTGTCAGGCAACAGCCTACAGATGGTAGGCTGAGCCACGGGAATGAGTAGCACCTCTGTAGGAGCATTCTCAGAGATAAGCCTGGGTCCAAAGGGTCCAAAACTTAACAACCAAAAAGCGAGATGATAGAGCCCAGGGTGTAGGTCTATGACTCTTGTTCGTTTCCTTCCCACCACCCTCAGGTGTACACTCCTCAGCCAATGATCAAACTGTCTAACAGCTTCAAAACCTGAGAGGGAATATTTCATCACTTCTCTCCTTCCGACCTTTAGACAAAACCTCAATCAAGAAGCTTTAGAAAAATTCTTTCAAATGGAAAAGCTAGCTGTCAACAGAAATAAAGATGGCCTTCACTGCTGGGGGAATATCCTGAGTCCTGTCAAACCCATTTACCAAGGCCCCCGCTCTCCTTCAGCAGGTGAACCTCCCCCATCTGTTCCTGCTCTTCCAGGCAAAGCTCCTATGGCACTGCTGCCACCTTCTTACAGTAAACAAATCACAACTTGTAAGGGAATCCACAAAGTGTACATCACTGATAAAACTGTATCTCCATGGAAGAAACAGTTATGCAGCACATGAACATGGACTGTTTCCCTGCAATGTGTCCTTATTCTGGATGTGGATCGTGGCCTGCCATGCCTTCCCTCCCCCACGCTGCGCCGTCAGCTACGATGGTTGTCCTGAGGTCAGGTTCTGGGCACTAAGAGGGACTTGAGGCACTATAGCTGGGACAAAATTAGGACAAATTACATAAAAACAATAAACAAAATAAAATGTAAAAAGCAATTAATGAAAACGAATATATGTATGTTCATGTATGACTGAAGCATTATGCTGTATACCAGAAACTGACACAACATTGTAAATTGACTATACTTCAATAAAAAATAAAAAATATATATACAAAAAACCCCACACACCATTACTATTGTCACTTAGCTCATTAACATTCTGGCTCTGCAAATCCAAAAAAGGAAATACTGGGGGGAGGGTATAGCTAGTGGTAGAGTACGTGAGTAGCATGCACAAGGTCCTGGGTTCAATCCGCAGTACCTCCACTAAAATAAATAAATAAAAACCTAATTACCTCCCCCAGCCAAAAATTTTTTTTAAAAATTAAAATTAAAAAAAAAGGAAATACCTTTCTTTTCTAAGATTTGCCAGTATTTGGAAGAACATTTTCCCAGATAATAAGCTTTTGGCATGAAGGTCCAGCAAACCTCAGCTGGCTGTGAAACTCTTAGGATTCCTGCATACTGTCTTCATGACAAGTTTGTCTCCACTTCAGAACTTCTTTTAAATTACTTTAGTGCCCATTTACAACCACAGCCACTAATGTTCTGTTTGTAGTAGCAAAATAATAGTAACAGCAACATTATTGCAAGAACTAACAAACAGTATTTACCAGGCACTTCGATAAGCACCACATAGTTTATGTCACTGGTCTTCACAGTATTCATCTAAGGTGGATACTCTTATTATCATCGTTTTGTAAAAAGGAATGTGCAGCCCAGAAAAGCAACTTCCCCCAGATCGCCCAGCTAGAAAGTGGCAGAGCTATGACTTCAGAGCACACAACCTGACCACACAGTTTTGCAGACAAACTGAGCTGATGAATCAGGTGACTCGGCCCAGAGGAGAAGTTAGTAAAGAAGTTGGCCCCAAACCAGAGGCCTTTCCCAATCATTCAACATATCTACTACCCTGACCCCAACATGTCATGGCTGCTGGCTGGGACATTTTAAGGCCCAAGATGATGTCCTATTTTTTGACACTTGAGGAATTACAGGATTTGAAGGCAGCTTTATCAGCATCAGACACTTTCTTTGGTCGTAATTATACGTATGTCCAGACAGCATTTTCACAGGCAACTCAGAAGCCCCAAAAAGAAATAGTCTTAGAAGTCTATCAGTCATACTGGAAGGCACACCGCTTTCCATCCCACACTTAAATCATGGCATCCTGAAAAAAGAGGCTCCCCACTTAGGTTTGAATCTACCCATCAGAAGTAAAAATTCCTGTCCAGGGGATCAACTCACCTATTTCCCCCCACTCACTATTAACCCCCTATTAATAATCAGCGAGGCACCACGGCCCCTGGACTATCTCATTCCCACAGTACTCCCATTCCACACTTACTCTCGTTCAAACACTTCATCAGAAGTGCTCCCAATCAAGCATGAAAATAAATTAGATTTTGGTTTAACCAGGATTAGATTCACAGCACCAAGAAATAAAGTAACAGTTATCTAATCTAACAGGCTAGCCTCAGACTTCCTGGCTACTCTCCACAGGCTCCTCTTGCTGAAGCCCTCTCCTAAAAATCCTCTTTAAATACTGTGAAATCACAGCACGTCAATGCTGTGAAATCACTGCACGTTGGTGTAGAAATGTAACTCTTCAAACGCCATGAACCTAACTCTTAACTCTGAGGCCTGCCAAACCCTACTAGAGATCGTCTAGCCCGTCCCTGGGGAGAGTTGCTGGTGGTCAGCCTGAGAAATGTGCGCTGGCCCCGCAACACAACAGGAAGCTACTTCTTCCTGGACATCGTGGAGGAAAGCAGCCTCCTGGGCTTGGGTGAGCCCATGTGTTTTCCGTGGAGAAGCAGTTTATACTCATGTCTCATTTTACACTCACTGTAACTCCATCTGGAAATTGCGAGGAGCTAGTGGCTATGCAAAGCCCCAACCAAGGAGAAAATCAGACCTGGACAAAGGAAGAAAAGAATAGGAAATTGATATCAAAAACACACAGAGAACTCCCACAGTGCAGCAACAAAAAAAATCCTAAACAACTTGATTAAAAGATGGATATGGACTTGAATAGACATTTCTCCAAAGAGGATGACAGGGCCCAATAAGCACATGAAAAGATGCTCAACATCAGTAATCAACAGGGAAATGCAAACAGAAACCACAATTAGATACCACTTCATATCCACTATGATGACTGTTATTTAAAAAGCAAAATAAAACAGAAAAGAAATGTTGGCAAGGATGTGGAGAAGTTGGAAGCTCTGCGCACAGCTGGTGGGAATGAGCTAAAGTGGAGCAGTCCCTATGGAAAATAGGACAGCGACCCCCTCCAAAATTAAACATGGAATTACCACATGCTCCAGCTATCCCACTTCTGGGTATGAACCCAAAAGAAGTGAAAGCAGGGACTCACACAGGTATTTGCACACCCATATGCATCACAGAATTATTTACAATAGTCAAAAAGTGGAGGCCACCTGAGTATCAATTGACAAATGAATGGACACAAAAAATATATGATATATACATACAGCAGGTTATAATGTCTTAAAACGGAAATTCTGACACATGCTACAATATCAATGAAACTTGAAGACACAATGCTAAGGGAAAGAAACCAATCACCAAAGGACAAATATT